ACGTTGGTCAATTTGCAGTCGTCGAATCGGCTCGTGTCCGCGGACATGACGTTCTTCCGACCCGTTTGCAGAGCGAAGACGACGTATCGCGGTTTTTCGAGCTGAGTCGCGATCTTAATGGCCCACGAGTGCTTGGTCGTGTTCTGCAACAGGGGATACTCGTACAGATCCCACGAACGGAAACCCATACTTAGATATCGTCCGTTTTCCAAGGCGCGCAGCATCGACAGCTTGTTGAACTCGCTCAATACCACGTGAGGCATTTGCCACTGTATCTTGAGTAGTTTGACAGTAGGCTCCAACGCGAGACTTCCCACCAGACAATTGTTGTCAGTGCGCGATCGTATCAAGATTAATTCGTGACGAGCGTTGATCACCACGCGTTTGTAATCCTCGCAAAATTCCAGTAACAGGTTGAGCGGTACACAGAAGTTGAAGTATCCGTTTGGGTTATTATGTGGTTCCCAGCCCGCGTTTCGCAGGATCACGCTTTTGTCGGACGATACCGTTACGTAGTTCTTGAGCGTGCTGGTTATTCCTACGTTTCTGCAGTGATCAATCTCCACACCGTCGAGCTCGTATCGAATTTCATCGAACATGAACGCGACGAAATTATTCCCCAATACCACGTTATCGGCTTGGCCGGCTGCTCCGGTCACCGTCAATGTTCCTTCGACGTAGAGAAAACTTTCGCACGGCAACGTATACAGATCCTGCTGTTGTATGAGTATTTGTATCTCGTCGCTATACTTGAACGTTGTGTTGGCGTACAAGTTGTACGTGTGAGTCTCGATCTTGGCGATGCGATCGTCAAAGACCGGCTCGCCTCCGATGTTAAGAATTTCAGTCATTGTTCAGATGTTTCGTACCGCAAATCCCAGAGATAAAATGTAAAAATTGAACGTTCGATGCATTGAGCTTCTTTCTCGTCTCTGTTTTCGTCTTTGTTTTAACGCTACCGAATGTCGATTTGATGATATCGTTGATCGTCGCAGTCGTAAAGATATTCTTATCTGTCGCGTCCTCCGAGTCGTTCAACACGAGCATGTCACAAGTCGCGCGTTATCGCTGTAGCCGTCGTACGTACAATCTGACGGTGATCTCTTCTTCTCGAAAAGCGAGCAATCGTCCGT